ACAGCGATGGGTTCACCACATTTTACGACATGGCAGGGAAAGGAATGCGAAACACAAGGGAAAACAATGATTTACATTGATATAACTATAATATGAAGTGACATACGACTAAAACAACAGTTGGATAGCTATTCCCTACTTTATTGGTTAGCAGTTAGTAGAAATTCTTCAATCAGTGACTGTATTTTTAAGGTAGATTACGTACCTCCAAATTTTCGGTGTCGACTGTACACCTTTCTCACGGAGTGACCTAGTCTCGCGAGAACACGAGACTAGGTCGAGACTTGTGTGGATCTTCTGACCTCCCCCGCCGCCTTTATTGGTTAGGATTTTTAATTGCATAATGCAAACTGTTGATTTTCAAAATAAAAATAACGTTCATGCCCCGCATTCCAATGCTGGAGCAGGAAAGCTTGAAATACCTACCAAAACACTTGAATACAGACATACTGTCAGTATGGAAATGCTCTGTACAGGTGTTAATCAAGTTAAATCCCAACAGCCAATCAGCAAGAAATGCTCTGTGCAGGTGGAAATGCTCTGTGCAGGTGTTAATCAAGTTAAATCCCAACAGCCAATCAGCAAGAAGAATAGAGGAAAGCTGCATGCCTATTGGTTGATGCCCTGCATTCCATTGTGATGACTCATACCCAAACGTGGTAAACATGGCACACTTACACAGTAATACATTTGCTATAACACAGCCAAAAAACTCAAATAAAACCATTCTAAAAGCCTGTATCACAAAAATTTAAAAAACGCCTAGGGGTATTTGCCCACTGTACCTCCATACCAAATTTCAGGACCTTAGGCCCTAAAATGAAGAAGCTGAATCCATTTTAAAAATGGCAGGAGAAGAAGGAGAAGGAGAAGGAGAAGAAACACCAGAAAAAGCAATATGGTTTCACCTCACCACTTCGTGGTGTGGTGAACCCATAAAAAACCTCCTTAGCGAAGGTAATGATAGGCTTCTGATAAGAAAATCTCGTAAAAGAAAATTTATAGTACTTCGTTCTCGTCGACATAAATCAGAAAAAGCTATTGCGTCGCATTACATGCTTTTACGACTTACTACACAATAGAAAACAGACTAACTTTTCTAAAAGATGAAAACGATCACAAATGCAAATTAATGCTTATTATCTATGTTAAAAATCCCTTATGCAAAAGTCAAAGAGTTCATATGTGATACGACAAAAAGTGCAGATATCTACACAAAGAAAAAAAGAAGAATACAAACTTACGGTTGTTGTTGCGTCTGTTGCACTACTTTGAAGACCTTGTGGCAGTAGTATGTGTGAAGTTTAGAAGTGCAGGGCCTTATATACACCTTGCACAGGAAGCAGATATTACGTTTTTTAATTGAAAGCCTTCTCAGAAGACGACTGTCACTGGGACGGGCGAGAACATTGGAGTGAACCATTTGGTGTCCAAAATAGGGGTGTGTAGCCAAAAAAACTGCAACAGTTGGACACCCTATGCTTAGTATATCCCAAATGACAACAGTGCCGCGCACTGGGCATGTGGTAAAATATAGTTGCGCACTGAAGCCAGTTTGGCTTGTCGTTTTAAATTAAGGCTTATCTCACCTAAAATACCTGTTTAAGTCAGTTTTTCTATTCGCAGTCTACTACACCAAAGTCAAAACAACATGGCAAAAAAGCATAAAGTCACCCTCCGTACCAAATGGAACAGTCCGTTAATATGTTTTGTAAGACAGAAGGCGAGCGGAAGTACTAGTACTTGTTGTTCATGTTTGGTTGAACTAGTCTTCAGATGCTTACCGGTACCGGAAGCCCCACTGTTCTTGACCCCTTCCTTATCAAATCTTAACCGCCGTGCGCAGGGGCCTTTTCCGGGGTAAAAAGAGGAAAGGACCCCTAAGTCAACAGTTATGTATTTAGACTTGATGACCCTCCCAGAGGTACATATACTGAGAAACAGGCGGGTATACGTAATTAACGTTGTTATCATATAGCGTGTAACTAATTTATTACGTTTTGTCAAATAAACATATCATGTGCAATGTTGTATGTAAACGTCCGTATGATCGTTTAGGTGTTCCATTTGGGGTCACCTGCGGTCATTCGAACAGAGCGGGTGTTCCATTTGGGGTCACCGGAGGTCGCAGTGTTATAGGATTTAAACACCACGGTGCTTATGAGATTTAATCACCGCTGGTAATGTTGTGGTGTCATAACCAATATGAATCTTTTGAGGAACGTTTGATTGGTCGATGTCTTCTGACTATATGATAATATATGAATAAGCAGATCTTTTGGGGGCTGTATCAAGGCAGTATCCAAGGCGGAAGTCTCCATGTAACCTCCTTGCAGTATCCAATGCACCACCCGAAAAAAATACCCGTACGAAAAATAAAGGACAAGCACCAACACGAGCCAAAAACAAACCGAAGCCTAAATTTTTGCTAGGAGAGAAATTAGATAACCGTTCGTTATCAAACTTTAACTACCAATGCCCGGTGGCTTTTTTGGAGGAA